ATCCCATACTGCCCCTTTCAAGTATTTGAAATCAATTAGTAAAGAAGATGACACCTAGTCTGAGGCAGGGGTGGACAGACAACTCATGGGGCCCCCGGGCAATAGGGGATCATGGGGCCCCTTTGTTCTCGCCAACACCCATAAAATCCTATTAAAAAGCCAATGAAAGGTACCAGTGGCATCTCATGGGCCCCCCTACTGACCACGGGCCCTCGGGCAGTGCCTGAGTGCTCGAATGGTCAGTCCACCCCTGGTCTGAGGTCACTTTCAAGTGAGATAAGCTTTGCCCCCTAGGTTTTTTGGGGAGATAAAAGTAGGAGGTGGACAGAGACAAAAAAAAGACGAGGACAACACATCACAAGACAAGACAGGAGACAAGGAACAACAGACGGACACAGACACACCCTGAATTGAGCGGACTGAAAGCTGACATCACTGACACCATACAGTCCATAGTAGTGAGGAACAAAAACAAAAGCGCACCAACCTTGCACATTACCTCAGTATGCAAATGGTAAGTTTATTGAATTAAGAAATATGCTCACAAAAGTAGCAGTATATAAGGCATATAAAATCCAATAGCACAAGGAGGGATGGAGGAGCACAGCGTCGACCCTGCACTGGATGGAGGAGTTTATGGATTAATATCCTGGGGGGAAAAAAAGGAAAAGATAATAATAAATAATAAAGTTTTTTCAGCTCTGAGGAAGAAGGGATCTCCCTTCGAAATGCGTCAACTTTACCCTGAGAGTCTCCCCTCTCGATGGGATTCGCACGTGTCTCCTATTCCAGTGCTTCCATGGATTTTATATGCCTTATATACTGCTACCTTTGTGAATATATTTTTCTTAATTCAATACATTTACCATTTTCTTACTGAGGTAATGCGCAAGGTTGGGGCGCTTTTGTTTTTGTTCTTCACCACAGTTTGTATCGGGCTTCCCCAGCCTCGTGTTAGAGCTGCACAACCTTTGATCGGTTTTTTTGGATGAACTTCCATATATATTTCCATTGGCCCACCTCTGATCTGGGTCCCTGAGTGCAGGAGGTGTTGTGTTTGTTTCTACCATAGAGTTCACAGCCAACTTGTACTCGCCTTATATCTCCAGCTCAATTATTTAGTCTGATAATGGTTATGGTAAGCACAGGAGTTGATGTCAAGTAATTTTAACTGCAGTATAAATGATTTACCGTATTTTTTCGCACCATAAGACGCACTTTTTTCCCCCCAAAAAAGGGGGGAAAATGTCAGTGCGTCTTATGGAGCAAATATGGAGCGGCCGGTTCGGTATTTCCACTGCCGCCGTGTCAGAATAGCGGGCCGGCCCGCCGCTCAACTCTACAGCGGGACCTTATAGAGATGACTGCTGACCTTTGGGGAGGGGGGGGAGCGGGTACCTGAATTTGACAGATACCCGCTCCCACTTCCATGGAGTTGTTCTTTCATCTTACCCGTTCCTCTATCCAGCGGCGCGGTCTTCCGGCTTCTGTAGTGTGGTCATGACAGCCGGGTGCCAAGTGCGCATGCGCAGGAAGCGGTGCTTTTTGTGAATGGTAAGGCGGCACCTGGGACACATGACAGATCCCAGAAGCCGCCGGACCAATCACAAAGCGCAAGTGCTTCTCGCTCATGCGCACTGGGCACCCGGCTGTCATGCCGAGCGCCATTACAGAAGCCGGGAAGACAGCGCGCGGCTGGATCGAGGAACAGGTAAGATCAAAGAACAACTCCGCAGAAGTGGGAGCGGGTACCTGTCAAATTCAGGTACCTGCTCCCCCCCTCCCCAAACGTCAGCAGTCATCCCCTGTACTATCCACAGTCTCTGGTCATCCCTGTGCTGTCCGCAGTCTCTGGTCATCCCTGTACTATGTCCGCAGTCTCTGGTCATCTCCTGTACTGTGTCCGCAGTCTCTGGTCATCTCCTGTACTGTGTCCGCAGTCTCTGGTCATCTCCTGTACTGTGTCCGCAGTCTCTGGTCATCCCCTGTACTGTGTCCGCAGTCTCTGGTCATCCCCTGTACTGTGTCCGCAGTCTCTGGTCATCTCCTGTACTGTGTCCGCAGTCTCTGGTCATCTCCTGTACTGTGTCCGCAGTCTCTGGTCATCTCCTGTACTGTGTCCGCAGTCTCTGGTCATCTCTGTACTGTGTCCGCAGTCTCTGGTCATCCCTGTACTATGTCCGCAGTCTCTGATCATCTCCTGCACTGTGTCCGCAGTCTCTGGTCATCTCCTGCACTGTGTCCGCAGTCTCTGGTCATCTCCTGTACTGTGTCCGCAGTCTCTGGTCATCTCCTGTACTGTGTCCGCAGTCTCTGGTCATCCCTGTACTATGTCCGCAGTCTCTGATCATCTCCTGTACTATGTCCGCAGTCTCTGGTCATCTCCTGTACTACGTCCGCAGTCTCTGGTCATCCCCTGCACTATGTCCGCAGTCTCTGGTCATCTCCTGCACTGTGTCCGCAGTCTCTGGTCATCCCCTGTACTGTGTTCGCAGTCTCTTGGTCATCCCCTGTACTGTGTCCGCAGTCTCTGGTCATCCCCTGTACTATGTCTGCAGTCTCTGGTCATCTCCTGTACTATGTCCGCAGTCTCTGGTCATCTCCTGTACTATGTCCGCAGTCTCTGGTCATCCCCTGTACTGTGTCCGCAGTCTCTGGTCATCCCTGTACTGTGTCTGCAGTCCATTAGTTCAGAATTTTTTTTTCCTGTTTTCTGCCTCTAAAACCTAGGTGCGTCTTATGGAGCGAAAAATACGGTAATTTCAATTCTCTGGAGGGAATTCTATTTTAAATATCTGTGAAGCTCATTTTGGCTTCTAGTCAATGATTTAGCTGGATATATATATAAATCAAGGTAGACAACTTAATGTCACATTTTATCTTGACCTCAGATACATTCTAAGCTGATTGGATTGATCTGTGTATGGTATTCCAAATCAATTCATGCCAAAGTACACGCTGAGCTCTGAATGCTGGTTGTAGAGAGATCACGGGGTCAGTTTGCATAACTTCTCACATGTGGCTGAGTTACTGAAAAGTTTCTTACACGGCATTTCTAGACGGCTAATTTCAAGTCATTAATATCTGAAAGTAATTGCTGGTTTGAATTTCTAACCATTATTTTGGAGTAGATCGTTGTACCAGTATTTTGGATTGTTTACTATTTATCATCACCTATTATATTTCTTTACCATTTTGCACTGAATTTTATTATTAATAAATATATATGTGTAGCGCTCACCCCCGAAGGAGCCGCTGGAGCTAACGGGCACTTCTGTCCTTACATCAATGATGAACCATATATATATATTGGATCCACAGCACAGCAGGACACCTTGTGGGAAGTTTTATAACAAGTTTAATAAGACGGGTAAAACTCTGCAAATAGACTGCAAATTAACTTGGAAAATAGCAGTTAAATGCACTGAATACACACCTTCTAGAATTGGCACACAATAACATCAATAAACACAATATTCATGTATATACGTATATACCGGTATAGATATAGATCAGTATTACCCCCCTGCAACTACAGCAGCAATATGTCCCCAGCTAAACTGACGTCTCTTTAGGCTCAGCCCCACATTCACTTGTATACTGTGGGATGTAACACTGTGTGAGTCTATGTGTTGTACAGGCCTGTGATAGTGAATCGGTGGAGCTCTCTTAAGGACTGACATGTCACAGGTTAGCAGTTGTTCATCACATCCATGAAGAACAATCTTCAGGGGTTAACTCCTTGAAGGGATGATGACTGGGGCTCTCCCTCTCTGGCTAGTTTCCTGATATCAATTGTCGGTGCTGCACAATCTCTGAGGTGCCTCGCCTGGGATGATCACACACCTCCTCTGCGATTTCCAACACTCTGACCTCTCTCTCTCTGCGGTGGGAGATGTTGTTGCTGTCGGTAACTGCCGCCGCTGGTGACTGGCACCAATGATCACACTTGCTGCTGACTTCAGCTGCTGTAGATAACCGTTGTCCTTAGCAACCTCTGCTGATCTGGAAACAGTGTCAGTGTACTTCAACAGTAGGGGCTGCAGACTAGATCCCACATGTCCTCTGCAAAGGCTCCCCCACCCCCCCTCCTTGCAAAGCATCCTGGTCCCTGTAGTCCTGTGCAGTATGAAGTTACATTGTCTGCCTCTGTGATGAAACTGCAACTCCCACAAACACTCCAGTACTGCTGACAGCTGAGCCAATCAAACCATTTCTGACAGCATGCGGTCTTAAAGGGAAACAGCAATGGCCCCGCTACATGTTTGCGCATTATTGCTTTTTACTTTGTCTTCAAATTAGCGCCAATGAAGAACTCAGGTTATCAGTTGATTTATGAAATTTAGTAGGGATTAAGATTAAGTATCCTTAATTCCAGATCCCTTCCTGTTTTCATAAATGACATACTGATTATTTATAAACGGCCTGTCTATGGCCTGCATTACTCATGCGACATTCATCATTACTCAGCAGTTTTAATAACTTACAAAAAATGTCATATTGAAAGCCATTTTAGCTGCTAATATGAATATATACTGTATATATCAACTTATACTACTTAATAAAATATACCTTAACCCCTTGCCTACCAGGCACTTATACCCCCTTATTTACCAGGCCAATTTTCAGCTTTCAGCGCTGCCGCACTTTGATTGACAATTGCGCGGTCATGCAACATTGTACCCATATGAAATTTTGATAATTTTTTTCTCACAAATAGAGCTTTCTTTTGGTGGTATTTAATTGCCACTGGGCGCTTTACTTTTTGCGCTATAAATAAAAAAAGTGCAAAACATTTGAAAAAAAAAAAAAAATTTTTTTCTTTGTTTCTATTATAAAATTTTTCAAACAGGTATTTTTTCTCCTTCACTGATGTGCGTTGATGAGGCAGCACTGATGGGCACTGATAGGCGGCACTGATGGGCACTGATAGGCAGCACTAAAGGGCACTGATAGGCAGCACTAATGAGGTGTCACGGATAGGCGGCACTAATATGCAGCACTGATAAGCGGCACTGATAGGCGGCACTGATGATGGGTACTGATAGACGGCACTGACTGTCATCACTGCTGGGCACTGACTGGCGGCACTGACTGGCACAACCCCTGGGCACTGACTGGTGGCACTGACTGGCAGCACTGCTGGGCTGCACTGGTGGGTGGCACTGGTGGGCAGCACTGGTGGGTGGGCACAGGTGGGTGGCACTGGTGGGCGGGCACAGGTGGGTGGCACTTCTGGGCACAGGTAGGTGGCACTTCTGGGCACAGGTGTGTGACACTGCAGAGTGGCACAGGTGGGTGCACTGCTGGGCACAGGTGGGTGATCTGCTGGGCACAGGTGGGGCGGAGCTAGCGGGCGCACTGCTGGGCACAGGTGGGCGGAACTTGCGGGTGGCACTGCTGGGCACCGATCATCAGGGCACTGATCATCAGTGTCCTGATGATCGGTGCCGATCCCCGCTCTGACAACTGCCGGTTCTCGGCAGTACTTTCCTCACGATCTGACAGCGTGAGGAAAGTGTAGCCGAGAACCGGCACTTGCATTTCCCTGTGATCAGCGTGTCATTGGACACCGCTGATCACGTGGTAAAATGCCGCTGGGATTGGCCTTTTACCACATCACGTGATCAGCTGTGTCCGTAGGACACAGCGATCACGGAGATCGCCGGGTGCGCGCCCCCTGGGGCGCGCAGGAGAGCGCGTTCTGGGGAGACGTCATATGACGTCCACCCAGAACTGGCTGGCCGCAGTGAAGCCGTCATTCGGCTATCTGCAGTCGGCAACTAGTTAATCTAAGACACAGACATATGTGTATATATATATTAGCTCAACTAAACACTCTTATTATTGTTATTCTCTTATAATATATAATTATTATGTAGGATATAGTAGGGATCACCTCTATCCTTATACACTGGTGCTGGCCCACCCTCTTGTTTTAGTGGGGACTTCAAGAGGCTGATATTGAGTACTTATAAGTGGACTCACCTGAGTTTGGAAATACATGTTTTAATAAATACAGAGCTGTAATAATTGCTGCATTGTTCTGTCTGCTTGACGTTTAGTTTAAAACCCAGTTAGAGTGTAATGCTGCCTGTAACGGAACCGGCCCCCGACTGCAGTAGGGTATTTCCGTTAGACTCCGGCTTCCCTGTCCGAACACAGATCCACGGACACTACCGCTGACCATACAAGAGGAGACAGCACCAGACTTGTCTTAAAACAGGAAGTGGACTGCTTTATTTAACACAGACACAAGATATATACACAGGGCGGGGCAATACATTTAGTAACAAGAGACACACAGCAGACACCCCCCACCAAGCCAATACACAAACACCTACATCCCATAATAGTTTGCTCCCAAGCCAGACACACAATAGAACAATGGGACCACATGGCAGTAAACAATGAACAACCCCCACACCCCACCTATACATGTCTACTCAATAGCAGGACATTTCACCCTGCACCTCTAACAGGCACAGGGTGACTTACACATAATAGGGATATGGGAAGCTGAGAAAGGGGTCTCCCCACCTCTCCAAAGCGGGCTGTGTCCCATGGGTCCCCCACCCAAAGTGACTCCCGTCACATTGCCCAAAACTTTTAGGGATAAAAGAAGGGTTAGAACCCCTATCAGATTTTATATGCTGTAGATACACAAAAGTTGCTAGATCTTTGTTTAATAATATCTAGTGTTGTAAAAGCCTACTTAATTTGGAGAGGCTGCTCAATTGTATCAGATCACCCTCCCAGGGGAGAGGTCTGGAGAAACAGTTTACTACACTGCTCAAAAAAATGAAAGGAACACTTTGAAAACACATCAGATCTCAATGGGGAAGAATCACCTGCTGGATCTCTATACTGACATGGACGGGGTGATGTGTGAGGAATGTAAGGACGCCCCATCGTTTGATGAAAATGAAAATGATCGACCTACAGAGGACTGAATTCAAAGACGCCCCGAAAATCAAAGTTAAATAATAATGCAGCAGGCGAGTCCATTTTGCTGAAATGTCATTGCAGCAAATCAGAATGGTCCTCAGTAGTTTGTGTGGCCCCCACGTGCTTGTATGCATGCTGACAATGTTGGGGGAGGGTCCTAATGAGACCACAAATGGTGTCCTGGGGGATTTCCTCCCAGATCTGGACCAGGGCATCACTGAGCTCCTGGACAGTCTGAGGTGCAACCTGGAGGAGTCGGACGGACTGAAACAAGACATCCCAGAGGGGTTCTATTGGATTTAGGTCAAATGAGCATGGGGGCCATTCAATGGTATCATTTCTTTTATCCTCCAGGAACTGCCTGCATACCCCCCCACATGAGGCTGGGCTTTGTTGAAAACAGGACCCACTGCACCAGCGTAGGGTCTGACAATGGGTCCAAGGATTTCATTCCGATACCTAATGGCAGTCAGGGTGCCATTGTCTAGCCTGTAGAGGTCTGTGCGTCCCTCCATGGATATGCCTCCCCAGACCATCACTGACCCACCACCAAAACGGTCATGCTGAACCATGTTACAGGCAGCAGAACATTCTCCACGGCTTCTCCAGACCCTTTCACGTCTGTCACATGTGCTCAGGGGGAACCTGCTCTCATCTGTGAAAAGCACAGGGTGCCAGTGGTGGACCTGCCAATTCTGGTGTTCAGTGGAAGATACCAATCGAGCTCTATGGTGCCGAGCTCATATTATTTCTTCCCCACGTGCCCCTTCCCCTGACATCTCTGTCATCGACTTTGCTCTTTTATTACTAATTGCTTTATAACACCACTTATAATTATGTACTTTTTAGTGAATTTACTTTCTCTATCATGAAATAAAACCTTTGCTTCTTTTATTGCTGATAGTACTATTATTAATATTATTGTCACTATTATTATTATACAACAACAACTTTATAACCTGCACTTAGGTGTAATATTATTTCGTGACTGTGTACTCTGACCCTCATAAAGATAGACAATAATAGTAGTTAAGCACTGCCTAAACATGATTTTCACCAACATACAGGTGAAACTCGAAAAATTTGAATCTGGTGCAAAAGTTTATTTATTTCAGTGCAGCAACTTAAAAGGTGAAACTAATATATGAGACTCATTACATGCAAAGCAAGATAGTTCAAGCCGTGATTTGTCATCATTGTGTTGATTATGGCTTACAGCTCATGAAAACCCCAAATCCACAATCTCAGAAAATGAGAATATTCCATGCAATAAAAAAAACAAGGATTGTACATAGAATAATATCGGACCTCTGAAAAGTAGAAGCTGCATATGTACTCAGTACTTGGTTTTGGGCCCCTTTTGCAGCAATTACTGCCTCAATGCGGCGTGGCATGGAAGCTATCAGCCTGTGGCACTGCTGAGGTGTTATGGAAGACCAGGATGCTTCAATAGCGGCATTCAGCTCTTTCTGCATTGTTCGGTCTCATGTCTCTCATCTTTCTCTTGGAAATGCCCCATAGATTCTCTACGGGGTTCAGGTCAGGCGAGTTTGCTGGCCAATCAAGCACAGTAATCCCACGGTCATTGAACCAGGTTTTGGTGCTTTTGGCAGTGTAGGCAGGTGCCAAGTCCTGATGGAAAATGAAGTCAGCATTCCCATAAAGCATGAAGTGCTCTCCTGGTAGACGGCTGCGTTGACCCTGGACTTAATGAAGCACAGTGGACCAAAACCAGCAGATGACATGGCTCCCATATCAACACAGACTGTGGAAACTTCACACTGGACTTCAAGCATCTTGCAGTGTGTGCCTCTCCATTCTTTCCTCCATACTTGGGGTCCTTGGGCCTCTCCATTCTTCCTCCATACTCGGGGTCCTTGTGCCTCTCTATTCTTCCTCCATACTTGGGGTCCTTGGGCCTCTCCAGTCTTCCTCCATACTCGGGGTCCTTGTGCCTCTCCATTCTTCCTCCATACTCTGGGTCCTCAGTTTCCAAATCAGATGCAAAAGTTGCTCTCATCAGAAAAGAGGACTTTGGACCACTGTGCAACAGACCAACTCTGTTTTTCTTTAGCCCAAGTAAGACACTTCTGATGTTGTTTGTTGTTCAGGAGCGGCGGCTTGACAAGAGGAATACGACATTTGAAGCCCATGTCCAGGATCCGTCTGTTTGTGGTGGCTCTTGATGCACTGACTCCAGCCTCAGTCCACTCCATGTGAAAGTCCCCAACACTTTTGAATGGCCTTTTCCTGACAATCCTCTCTAGGCTGCGGTCATCCCTGCTGCTTGTGCAGCTTTTTCATCCACACTTTTCCCTTCCACATAACTTTCTATTAATGTGCTTTGATACAGCACTTTTTGGGAACATCCAACTTCTTCTGCAATTCCCCTTTTGAGGCTTTCCCTCCTTATGGAGGGTGTCAGTGATGGTGTCAGGTCAGCAGTCTTTCCCATGATTGTGATTCCTACTGAACCAGACTGAGAGACCATTTAAAGGCTCAGTAACCCTTTGCAGGTCTTATGGCTTAATGAGCTGATTAGAGTGGGACACTTTGAGCCGAGATTATTCCACCTTTTCACAATATTCTCATTTTCTGAGATTGTGGATTTGGGGTTTTCATGAGCTGTAAGCCATAATCATCACAATGATGACAAATCACGGCTTGAACTATCTTGCTTTGCATGTAATGAGTTTTTATCTTATATATTAGTTTCACCTTTTAAGTTGCTGCACTGAAATAAATGAACTTTTGCACAATATTCAAATTTTTCGAGTTTCACCTGTATATACAATAATATACAATAATTCTTCTCAAAGTCCATACACTGTCCATAACCGTGCAATCTGTTAGTCGTTATCTGTGCTGTGTTCTTAAGGTGCTAAAAAAACACATTGCACTCCCCACCGGCGATCCCCCTCACTCACCAACTTGTGTGGACTCTTAGATTTTGATAAGAGTCTAATGCGCTTAGTGGGAAGATCCGGTACTGCCGGTACTTGTAGTCCTCCTCGGTGTGGATATGCCCCTTAATTGCGGAAATGATCGGATACAGTGGTCATAAATGTAGGCACTCAAGGGGAATAAAGACAGCAGAATTCCGTTTATTGAACATTTCCAGGTAAAATAAATGTATTGCACTCACATCATTAAAAGAAATACCACGCATAAAGTTTGTCAATCCGGAAGTGGCGTTCCACCGACCGGAAACAACATCAGCACGGCTCTCGTCAGCTGGCGCGTTTTGCCCCTCCCACTAGATGTTCTCAGAGGCTACTGAGGATGGACTCTGAGGACGCCCAGTGGGAGAGGCAAAACACGTCAGCTGATGAGAGCCGTGCTGACGTTGTTTCCGGTGGAACGCACCCAGATTCCGACTTGCTGGGACTCTTAGATTTTGATAAAAGTCTAATACGCTTAGGGGGAAGATCCTGGTACAGCTGGTACTTGTAGTCCT